CCACCACCACCACCACCACCACCACTGCCCCGGGTCCCCACTGCCACCGCTGACCGCCCCATCTCTGTCTCTTCCAGAGCCTGGACGTGGCCAACAACCAGCTGCGGGAGCTGCCCGCCGTGCTGGCCGATTGCCCCCGGCTGAAGGAGGCCAACTTCAGGGGCAACCAGCTGAAGGTGCCAGACGAAGGCCATCCTGGACTACCTGCGGGCTGGGGGCCGCGGGAAGGGGAAGGCCGAGAGCACCAGAGAGGAGGCCAGGAAGAAGAAGAGGGAGAAGCAGCAGAAGAAGGACGGCGGGGATGGGGAGCAGGATGAGCTGGAGGAGGCGAGTAAGCTGCTGGTGAAGGTTCTGCACGTCTCCGAAAACCCAGCACCCTTCAGACGAAGGCCATCCTGGACTACCTGCGGGCTGGGGGCCGCGGGAAGGGGAAGGCCGAGAGCACCAGAGAGGAGGCCAGGAAGAAGAAGAGGGAGAAGCAGCAGAAGAAGGACGGCGGGGATGGGGAGCAGGATGAGCTGGAGGAGGCGAGTAAGCTGCTGGTGAAGGTTCTGCACGTCTCCGAAAACCCAGCACCCTTGGTGGTCAAAGTGAGCCCGGGCGTCAAGGATGTTCGACCCTTCATCGTGTGCTGCGTGCTCAAGGGAGTGAACTTGAAGCCAGGAAATGCTCTGAAGAGGTTCCTGACCACACAGGTAATTGCTGTGGTCGCGTGTTACTTGTTTGCGATGGGAGCAGTGCTGGGAGCACTGGAAACGGACTCTTCTAGAGTCTTTCCAGCAGATGAGTTTCTGAAGCCCAGGCTGAGCCCTGTACCCAGCCGGTGGGGGTTTGGGTGGGTGCCTGCGCAGCGTGTGCCCCTGCTTGGTCTGTAATAAGCAAACCTGGCTTTCCTGCAGAGCCCAACAGGAGCTCAGATGTTACCGTGAGAGGGCAACAAACGCACGTGCATTTGCCCTGCCTGTGTAACAACAGCCTGGTAGTGCTGTGGGACGGGTTGAGAACGGGTAACGAACCCCTGTCCTGGCCCCAGGTTTCCCGGTCTGTGCTAGGACTGCCTTGCACACCCAGTTCCAAGCAGACTTCCACTGCTCGCACCGTGGGGATCACAAGACTCACACACTGGGCGCTGCTTTCTGATTTAACACTGTTTCTCTCCCACTTGAGGAGTGTGTCATTCGTCATACCTTTACGTGTGGGTCGTAATTCACATGAAGTTATTTTATAGGTGAAGAGAAGGGCTCCGTTTCATACAAAAGGGTTACTTAACTACGATGCTGCAAACGTTAAATACATGAGAATGCCGAACCCTAGGAGGAATAAATCCCCTTGATGGTTTTTGCCATATTTTGATGGCGTTCTTTCTGTTCCAGACTAAACTGCACGAAGACATCTGTGAGAAGAGGACCGCGGCCACGATTGCCACCCACGACCTGCAGCTGATCAGAGGCCCTCTGATGTACGACGTTCAGCCTCCTGACCAACTGAAGGTAGGGCCAGCGGCACCCAGGGGCCTTTCCGCTCCTCCTCTTGTTTTCTGGAGCTGTACGGAGCGGAAAGAATTTTTTCCTTACCCCATAAATGCTAGAAACTAACTCCGGGAACTGTAATTTCAAAGCTTGTTATTCAGTAAGTGGTGACAGTGAGGGAAGTGGCTCTGAAAACTCCATGCCTGGTTCCGTGCTAGCAAATGAGCCTGGTTTTTAGGTAGATGTTGAAGCTGACACAAAGGTTTAAACTCAGCGCCATCGCAGCGGTCCCTGCTCAATGGGAAGTGCGTTTCCATGCCGAGTACGGTGTTAGGATTGATGGCACACAGGAACGTGGCTTTAATCCTTGTCTGGTTTGCAGGAGTTTTAATAACCGCAGCTCTACAATCCAAAGGTTTGTTTTCTTGTGTGGTGCAGATAACGCCCCTGGGTCGAAAGGAGATCAAGGCAAAGGATCTCCTCCGGCAGCTGCAGTCGGAAGCCGAGGAGCAGAGGAAACAGAAGAAGCGCCAGAACGTCTCGGGGCTGCACAAGTCAGTAGCTGCTCTCTCGGTGCCTTTTCTTCAGGTGACTCGTGTGGAGAAAGAGCACTGAAATGCGCTCCAGTGGTTCATGAGGCACGTCCAGTTGCACTGTCCGGCTGGACTTCGGTGCTCCCACACTTGTGGTTTTGCCGTGTGGCAGATCAGGAACGCACGGGTCACTTTTGTCGCTGTTTTCCGCCGTTGTGTCCAGCTGCTGGTCCAGCTGCTCACTCCTTGCTGGTTTGATTTTCCTGGCAGGTATCTGCAGTTGCTGGACGGCAAGGAGAACTACCCGTGTCTTGTGGATGCCGAGGGCGCTGTCATTTCTTTCCCACCGATAACCAACAGCGAGAAAACAAAGGTACTCTCTGTTAGCGGAAACACCTTAATCAGAATCAACCAGCGGTTCGTTTTACTGAGAGATATTTAACTCCAGGTTCAAAAATAAGCTCTGGCGAGCTGTTCCAAGAGCACTGGGGTGGCCTCGGTGAATGGCAAGAGCATGGTTTCTGATGTGTAAAGGAAGGCAGCGCCTTCCCCCTGGTTTGTGCATTGAAACGTTGTTATTCCTCACTTGCTCTGCCTGTGAAATTCTTGCAGATTAGAAAAGACACCCGTGATTTATTCCTGGAGGTGACCAGTGATGCCAGCCTACAGGTGTGCAAGGACGTCATGGACACGCTAATTCTGGTAAGAAGCTCCGTCAGAAAATCCCCGGTGCTCTCGGTGTGCTTCGCAGTGACACGTTTGATGGTTCACACGTGCTGAGAAGAACGCAGAAGTTGTTCATTGTTGGTACAGCCGCAGAATTCATCTTGTCTCCTGTATTTTGCTTTAAACAGAAAATTGCCGAGCTGAACAGGTTGACTTTGGGAAACAAGGAAGACTCGGGCTCAGACAACGAGTCTCTTTGTGGACCGGCGAATTGCAGCCCCAGCCAAGACGCGCAGCCGATGAACTGGCCGTTGGTGGTGGAGCAGGTTCGCGTGGTGGACGCAGATGGAAACCTCAAAGTGCTCTACCCTTCAAAAACTGACCTGGCCACAGTGTCCTCTCTTCTGACTGTCGTACGTTAGCAGCTACCACCGCTCAGAAAATCGCTTCGTTCTCTTACTTGATTTCTTTCCGTACTCAGCAATGCAGTTTGTACGCGGTGAGGTGGGTTGGGTTTTATTTTAAAGAAAAGATGCAGTGCATCCTGCCTGGGTCTGTAAACACCTTTACCAAGCTGCAGCAAGGACTCCTGCGTTCTTTGGGCCTTAACAGAAAGTCATGGGCGTTCTGAACGGCATCGTGAGATGCAGACTTGGCGGCAGGGCAGGTCAGAATGCGTCAACTTGTAGAGAAAATCACCTCAGTGTTCATGACGGGATCGCTGTTTGTTCCTGGTGTGCTTCAGCTTTAGCAGCTCAGCTGAGAACTCCAGCAGGTGACAGCACGGAAGCGAAGTCGCGCACACTGCACCGGTACTGAGGACAGCATGCAAAGCTGCGGCGTTAACACCTCCTGCATCATTTTAGCTTGCTCTCCGGAGTAATTGTGAACGTTTCATTGCTGTCAGAACTTGAGGGATGAGTTTTAAAGTGGCGATTTCTCTGGTCAGACCTTAACGCAGCTTCTAAGTGGAGTTGCCTGCCAGGGTTTGTGGGTCCCAGTGCGTTTTAAAGCCACCCCTGGGTACGTCCCCAGCTGTAGTGACGCTGCTGTGCCCCGTTGGCTCGTTCTTGCTTGGCTCGGAGGGTGAATGCTGGCTTCCATCGCGCTGCTGCAGCTCTGGGCTGCCCGAACTCGAGCGCTCGTGCCCAGTGACCGTCCTGGAGCTCTGTCACGCTCCACGTGAAGTGTTGACGCCTCCCAAAGTACAGGTAGTTGGAGTGGTTCTGCTTGTTGCAGTCTGGGGGTGACTTCTACAGCCGGGCTACTACCCTATGTGAATGTGATCCTCCCCATAAGCTGGGGTGACCTCGAGATGGGCGTTTTCCTGTTAAAAATGAGCTCTGACTGAACAGACGCCGTGTCGAATGCGTCCACGTGCTGGGGCTTGCATGCTGAACAGACAAATAAAGCGGTTCTCGCGGTCGCTGTCGCTCGTTTTGGCGTTGGTGAGTTTTGCAGTCGTGTGATGACGCAAACTTGGCAAAGCAGCTGCTGGATGCTGCAAAAATGGGGTCTTGAGCTGCGTGGCCACGCAGTTGTTGGTGGTGAAGTCAGATGTTTCTGCAGACCAGCGATTCACAGCGGGTCGTGCTCTGAGTCGGTTGAAGCATTTGAATTAAATACACTGCAGAGCTTGTTCTCAGTAGTTTAATTTGTTAGTAATTCACACCTCAAACCAGGGAGCAGGGCCTGCAGTTGGTGACTCTCCTGACCCGGCCGTTACGGCCGCGTTTCAGGCGTTGGAAGCTGCTGCTGCCTGCAAGGACTCTTCCTCCTCCCCTTGGCGCTGGTGGGCAGCGAGGCGGGTACTTCGATGGTGCAGAGCGAGGGGATCCTGATTCCTCTCTGTTTCAGCATCTGATAGAACTCCAGCCGTTCGTTGATTATTTTCTGAAACGAGGGGTGTGTGAAGGGGTGGGACAGCATTAGGAGCGCGTTCTCTTAGCGGTTCCCCACGGGCTGCGAGCAGCAGAGTTGGAAAGAGCCCCGTACCTGCATGGCCTCCAGCACCTCCTCGTCCGTGAGCTCTGCCTGGGGAGGCTTGCTGCCCGCCGTGCTGAACGTAGCCTGAAGTATTTTGCTTCGAAATCTGTCAAACTTGTGATACAAGAGGGAAGAAGTAGGTGTGTTTAGTGTTTACATGCAGTTCTTTGGCGTTTGCATAGACTTACAGAGACCGCCGTCAGGCTGGGGACTAAGTACTGGTGAGTGATGGCAGGGAAAGCCTCTTGGTGTGAAATACCAGGCAGTTTGGCTGGGCTTCACTGTGGTCATGATGTGGTTCTGGGTACCCTTGACCCCTTACCCGAGTATTGGGCCGTGTGCTCACTACCAGGCACGGGTGCCTGCAGGAAATGGCTTTAAGGTGAAACCTGGCAAGGATATTGGAAACGTGGTGATGTAAGTGTTCTGAACACGGGTTTCTCAAGGCCTGTCTGCTGTGTGAGTGATACAAGAGCTGCGTGCTACAGAACTGGGAAGCAAATGGAGTTTCCTGCTCCTCTGGCCTGGTGGCTGCAAAGGGAAGCCAGGCCCCGAGAGCAAAGGACTGCGGTGCCCTGGTGCATCTCCCGCTGCGCTTTTGCCCAAGAAGGTCTCTAAGCTTTCAGATTCCCTGCTAGGAACGGTTGAGTTGCCTCCTGAGACGGGAGTAGGATCCCGAAGGGAAGGAGGCTGTGCTTGCTTACCCTGCTGGTGACGCACTCCAGCATCACTCTGGTTTGCAGCTCCCTGTGCTGCAGCGTCTCAGCTTCGCTCTGGGTCGCCTCGTGGGCCCGCTGCTGCTGCTGGATGTGGTGTCGGCTGCTCCGGAGCTCTGCCTGGAGCTGCCTGACCGTGGCCTGCAGCTCGCTGAGCAGCTTGTCCTGCTCGCCCAGCTTGGATTCTTGTTCCGTGACAGCCTGAGGAGATCCGTAAATCAGGCTGTTACCGTGAGCAGCCTTGGCAGCGTCTGCCCAGCATCTGGTCCAAATGCTTCTTGTCTGCAGCCTAGCAGCCTTGCCAGCACTGCTAGCTGTCATTACTTGGTGTTACCTGTAAAACTACTGGATGGAGTAGGGCTTTTTACGTGGCAAACTTCCCCCAGCCTAAACCAAGCACAACTAAGCAGCTAAACAAGAACCGTCTACAGCGGCTTTGCACCGAATTCACCTGTCGAAGACTGCAGTTCTCCTTCTCTAGCATCACCATCAGCTCTCCATGTTTCTTTTCCTCCCTCAGACTGCAGAACTGGAGAGAGAACATTGCACCCATCAGTTCTGCACTTCACAGCTGCACCTCCTGGCCACGAGAAAGGGAACTGCTGCACGAAGGCCGAGCTCCCCGCTGCCCGCGCTCGGGGCCCTACCTTGGCAGACAGGGCTTGTAGCTGACTTTCTCGCTCTCTGAGCTTCTTTTGGAGCGTTTCCTTTTCGGATCTGGTTCTCCGAAGCTGGGATTCTTGGATCTCCAGTTGCCTTTGCAAGGAGGAGATGGCACCTGTGAAGTTGGGGTGCCACTGTTAAGCAAAGTGAATCCCTACCAAAGCTTCGTGGCCCCTAAGCATAAGCAGAATGTTGAAACCATCTGAGCATGGACCACGGGTGAAGTCCCTGCTGCAGTCGCAGTGGCACCGCATTTTGTAGTGCTTTGCTGTGCTATGTGCTAAACTCATCAACCGCGGTGTGAGGTAGGAGCTGCTCTGGGGCCTGGCAGAGCCGGCAACACAAGCACAGGTTTGCTGAAGCGCCGCTGGGTGCCCCAAAACCCTGCGTGGGGCTTTGTCTGCTGGGTTTTTTGGTGCACTTCACTGCTAAGGGGAGGGGGAAAGTGGTTTCAAAGCCAGTTTCAGCCTCACTCTGTCAGCAGCAGTCGAAGCAGGAGCTTTTGTGCTCATGAGAACCTAACCTGGATTTTTTTTTATGGCTGGAAGGAGCAGAATCCCACGCTGAAGCTGCTGGCTGGGCTAGCTGTGTTTTCTGGACGCTGTCCCCCTACCTGTGGCCATGTTGTGGTCATCCTTCACCTTCCGCAGCTCCTCACGGAGCTCCCGGTCGCTTTTCTCCGTGTCGGTCAGCTCTGCCTCCCGCTCCTGCGAGCCCCCGGGAGCGCCCGCAGCGCCGACAGCGCCCGAGCTCCTCCCGTCCATCTCCGCGCTAGGGAGCGCTGAGGGCTCCGGAGGCCGCGATCAGCGGGGCCGGTGCCCGGGCCGGCGGCGCTCGTCCC